CACGCCCTTCCCTTAGTCTCTGCTATCTATATCTGTCCTCTCTACCCCCGCACCTCCAGATCGCTCCCTTTCTGCCAGAGTGCAGACCTCTGGTGCACACTGAGTGGGGATATACCGTGCGTGTCTTTCAGAGTCTGGCTTACGTCGCTCAACACTAAGTCCTCTGTATTCACCCACTTTGAATCAAATAACAGGGTCCCAATTTTTCCTTTGGCTGAATAATATTCCATAGTATATTGGGTCATCAGAAGAGTCATGACACATTTCTGCACAGAAAACAGGAAAATATGTCCTGTCTTTTCTGACACCCAATATCAGTGCCACAGGTTTTCAACACAGGCATCAGGTTTTTGTTTTTGTTTTTTTGACTTTTTTTTTTTTTTTTTTTGGATAGTTTTTTGCTCTGTGGGGCACTACACCACCAGAAAGACAGAGAGAGACAGACAGACAGAAAGCTAGAAATCACCCCCCAGGGGGATAGCACACCACAATCCCTTCTCCTCCATTCTCCTCTAGGAATCTTAGGCACGCACGCACACGTGCCCAGCGTGAGTTTAAGTCACCAGGTCCAGGACTCAAACCGCTGTCGACTACATGGAAATCCAGCGACATAGCCATTACGCTAACTGCTGGTCCCCACAGGCATCAGTTTTTGCACACAGCTTGATTGTATGTCTTAGCAATTGTGAGTAGTGCTGCAATAAACATGGATGTGCAAGAGTCTTCCTGACTGTTTTCCTAACCTTTGGGTGAATACCAAGGAGTGGGATTGCTGGGTCATATGGTAGTTCTATTTTGAGGAACCTCCGTGTTGTTTTCCACAGAGGTTGTACTAATCTACACTCTCACCAACGTGTAAGAGGGTTCCTTTTCAGCACAGCCTTGTCAACACTTGCTCTTCATTTTTGGATCCTAGCCATTCTAACGGATTAAATGGTCTCTCATTGTGGATATAGTTTGCATTTCCCTTATGTCAAGAGACTTTGAAGGTATATTCATATGCCTTTTGGCTATTAGTAACTATTCCTTAGAGAGTTTTCTATTCAGTTCATTTGTCCATTTTTAATTGGATTGTTCTCACTCTATTTTTTATTTTATTTTTACCCTAGGGCATGTGCACTCACCAGTGAGAAGGAGAGAAAATGAGAAACACCCCTCAGGTAGGGTGGCCACGGCACAATCCCTTCTCCATTCTTCTCTTGGAATTTTCTGCATGCACATGTGCCCAGTGTGTTTTTCAAGCAGCTGGGTCCAGGACTCGAACTGCATAGTCAGTCATGTGGATTCCAGTGCCTAAACCTCGTCATCTGCTGGCCCAGACTCTTCTAGTTCCTTTTCCTGTTCCTGTTCCTGTTCTTGTCCTTGTCCTTGTCCTTGTCCTTGTTCTTCTCCCTCTCCTTCTCCCTCTCCTTCTTCTTTTTGAGGGAGCTGCTTCAGTTCCCTATATATTCTGGTTCTCAATCCCTTGTCTGAGGAAGAACGCACAAATATTTTCTCCCAGCCTGAGGGTGGTCTTTTCACTCTAACTGTTGTTTCTTTTATTGTCAAGAAGCTTTTTAGCTTGATGTAATCCCACTTGTCTGTTTTTGGGACTACTGTCTGTGCTTTAGGGGTCTTATTTATGAAATCTTCACCTACTTTTAATATTATTAAAAGCCATATTTTCTTTTAACCCCAAAATATTTCTGAGCTTTCAATATTGTTTTGCTGTGTCTTACTTTTGAGAGACTCGTATTT